ACAAAAAATAGAAACAAAAATATGGCGTTGTAAATCTCGAAAAAATCTACAACCCCATATTTATAGTTTTTTTTTTTTTTTTTTTTTTGGCCCTAAAACACCTTCGGGCGACCGTCGTCCGTACGCCCGTACGGCCATCTGTCCGTCCGTCCGTACGGGCCGTACGGACACCCACCGAGCGACGTACGGGCGACGACACAGGAACCCATTGCCACGTGCCTTCAAACAATATGAATGCCGTTTTCGGACGATCCTCTTCCTTGACCAATATGTGGTGGAACCCGTGGCGGATGTTGAACTTGCTAAAATAGTTAGCACACCTAATCGCATCCAGCAAATCATCAATCAGAGGGAGGGGGTACACATCTTTGATCGTGATATCATTCAATTTCTGGTAATCGATGCAAATGCGAATGGATCCGGTCTTTTTAAGGACTAAAACCACAAGGAAGGACCATGGTCCTGTAGCGGGCTCAATCCATCCGTTGGCCTCGAATTCTCTGATTCGCTCCAGGGCCGTTCGTCTTTCAATCAACGAATATCGATACGGTTTACAGTGAATCGGCGGGKGGGKGCCAGTCTGGATCTCGTGATGTATGACTAGGGACAATCCGATGTCCGCATCCTCTACACTTATCGCATCCTGATATTCCGTCAAAATGTTAGAAATGATTCTGCGTATTTCATCCGGCTTATACTCCGGCACGTGCAGTTCGTAGTGACAGTCCCGTATCACTACCGGTAACTGTTTCATCCGGGTAGCGGGGGTCTTCCTTGTGGGTGGGGATGATATAAACGAATTGTCGGATCGCCAAGAGAAGACTGTAGCGACCATCTGAGCTTCCTCCTCTCGAATTGCCACGTGTTCCTCTGGGGTAATACCATCCTCGATATCCCGGAGGTCCACGACTTTCTCCGTGATTTTTAGTCCAATGTCGAACGGGGCGAGGTCGTATAGCCCAGGGGGTTCCGAAGTCCAATCCTCGATGACTTTTCGTAACAGTCGGATTTCCTTCCTAGATGTGAGCAACGAACTGGGAGGAATTTTCGAGACATCGCAGAAGGACCGTTTGTCGTGGTATCTTGATAGTAATGGAGTGGCCGCCTCGTATATGGTCCGAGGGGGTTCCCAAGAGTCGGCCAGCCTGGATATCTGCACTAGTGGTTCGTCCATAATTAGCGCTCTAGTTCACCGCACGTTTTCTGTAAGGACGAAAGTTTTTGTCGTTTTTTGTCGAAGCGGGTAGTGTACTATCTGTCGTGCCAGCTCGAGAATTTGAGGATCCGTTTCTTCCTCACTTTCGGAGGTGGATGATTGTAATATGGGTTCGTTACATTCGACGTCCGACTCGTCTGTGAATTCTTCCCATCTTATCATTCGTATCATTCGTAGGGCTTCACCCAGTTCCTTGCGTTGTCGCTCAGACGTTGAGGTGGTCTGTAGGGTGAGGCGCATCGGAACCTGTGTATACCGTCGTACGAACACGGCCCGTTCGTACGTCCGGACGTCCGTACGTATGGGCCCTCTGGCGCCCGTACAGCCCATACGTATGGACTTTAGGCCCTCCGTACGTGGCCTTCCGGGGGGCTGTTGAGGGGGTGGATGGGCTGGGGGGGGGGGGGGTGTCAGGGGGTACCCCCCCATTCAAAAAAAAAAATAAAAAAAAATTTGATTGATTGATTAATTCATTGATTGATTGATTGAAAGATTGATTGAGTGAGTGAGTGATTGGTTGATTGATTGATTGATTGATTGGTTGGTTGATTGATTGATTGATTGATTGATTGATTGATTGATTGATTGATTGATTGATATGAGGTGGGGGGGGTCGCCTCCCCCCCACGAGTACATACACACACACATACAAAAACGGGCGCGGCCTTTT